CGGTCATGACCCAAAGTTCATGACCATAGGTGAGAGTCGGAATGTAGATTGACCAGTAAATCGAGAGCTTCGCCTTACAGCTCAGCTCCTTCTTCACCACGACGGACCGGTACATCGACCGCATTACTGCAGAACCTGCACTGATCCGCCTGTCAATCTCCCGCTTTATGGGTAGTTGGTCTGTGTTTGCATGTGTTTTGGGAGAGTTGAAGTTTATAGGTTTGACACATGTGCATGACAAAACACTCCAGACAGGGAAGATAGCAGAGTGGAAACGCTGGATGTAAGGGCAGGAGTGATATGTCCTTGTTTTTAAAACAAGTCTGGCCAAAACTGAAACTAACACATGGTGGCCTGTAGAAGTGTAATTGTGAGTTCTCACCGCTGAATATTTGATGATTTTTAAATTCAGACAGCTGATGTTTGAAAAGTGAGCGCTATTCAGTTTGCCTGGTGGTCTCCCTCTCACTCATTCAGGCATGAAGTTGACGTGTTCATATACCGTCAAATTAATGAAAATGAGTGTATCTCTGAAAGAGACTTACATGTTGTCTTTAGGATATACTGCTAAACCAGCTCTGTGTTCATTTGTAGCCTTGTTTTTGCTCTCTCATTCAAACCTATAGATATGTATTTAGCTTTATGGGTACTTGGTCTGTGTTTGCATGTGTTTTGGGAGAGTTGAAGTTTATAGGTTTGAATGTGTTGAGGCAGCCACAGGTGTGAATGCCATGTAACTGAGCTCAAGAAGGATAAAGTGTGAGTGTTCAGCTGTCTGCTTAGATCACTCTGAAAGAGGAGCATGTTGGGAAGTAACATCGTACAGTGGGCCTAGCAACAAACAGTATTAGTAACACAACCTTTAGTGTGTGTGTGTTTGTTTATTTGCTTGCATGGATGCGTTTTCATTGGGCATTTGGCTGCTTCTCTTAACCACTGTCATGAGTACTGTGAAACATGTACAGTATTTGTTGACTCAGGATTAAAGCCTCTTGCTTTTCAGTTACAGGATATGTTGTTGGTTTTGTACCAACCACTGAGTACACAGTGTGTATTCAGATTCACTGAGACAGTTATCACATCTGAAAACATCTTTATTTCAGGTTTGTACAGTGTATAGTATTGCTCCATTTCGCAATAGTGCAAAATCTGATAATTTACAGTTCCTCATAAATAACAAACATATCATAAATAATCATTACCACATCAAACACAAACTTAAAAAAACTAGTTACACTGAAATTGAACAAATGGATTTAAGATAAGTTGAGCAGTCTTTCTATTTACAGCTCAATCAGCAGAATGGAGGCCGAAGTCTTGTGTGGTTGTGTGCGTCTTTCTCTTAAATCCCTGACTCACATCGCCTTTACAGAATAACAGCATTTCCACAAGAACATTACAGCCCCTATTCTACTGGGTCCACTCTAACAGAGAGTAAATGAAAAGTAAGGTAGTTTTGGATAAATAGAACCAGATAAACAAAATCCTTCAAAATAAGGAAAAAAAAAAGCCAACTTCTCAGAAGTTTGGAATGGTTATTACTGCACCGTACATGAAATGAACCCAGATATCGACTCCTAACTGACTCAAAAATACCCCAAACCATCACTTTATTTCAGACAATGTAGATTGAGTGGTGACATTCCCAAATCGTGCACCACATGTTCTACAGTCAGTACATCTGTAGTTAATTATACAGCTGTTTGTAGCTCATCTTTGTTACAGTAAAGTTGGCTCCATTTCCTTGCTATATTGTGGAAGGGAATATGACAGCACCAAGTGTCAACATTACTCATTAGTTTTAAGTGTTGATATACTGAAGGTAAACCTGTGTTACAACCATCTCTTGTTAGGGCTGGATAGAAATATCGATTTTTCGATTAATTGTGATCCTTGTTTGTATGATTCAACATCAATTCCTGAAATCCCCAGATCAATTTTTATATTTGCGTCTTTTCTCTGTAAACGTATATCTTCACTAAACATGGAAAAGAAGTTATAACAAAATATATAATAAGGTTAAGATATAAAGTATTGTAGATGATATCTGGCTATATTAGCCATGCTAAGTCATAACAGTCCATAAACACAGGACTGTTGTGTCTCAGGATATCTCATACTGGATGTAGAGATCCTGTCAACGAGAGGGACAGACAGGAAAGAAAGCCTGATCTGAGTTTTCAGTTTGCTTTGTTGCAGAGATATTACCTCTGGCTATGAGATGTGTGGCTGCTGAAGTTGACTGAACAGTGTGTGGACTCCTTTATTCAGTCTGTTCCTGTTGAGGAACTAATGCCAGCTGTCTGCAGATATCAGTCTGTTGTCAACACAAACAGAACAGATGAAACCATTTCTGAAGGCTCAAACTGACCATTAAAGAGGATGTCCGGACTTTGTTGAAGCATCTGCTAGTGTATGTAGCTGAATGGGATGGCATTCATTTTTTAGATTATGCACAGTGATAACGGCCTTGTTAGTGGTGCAGGGTTTTTATATTTCTGTTCAGCTGTTTTGCACATGTACCTAAGAAAATGGATGTTTTGTATTTTAGTAGTTTTGTATTTGCCAAGGAAAGTACTGTAAATCTTTGGTCCACAAAAATATTACAATCAGTAAATGTGATCACAGGTTGGCCTATATGTGAACTTATATTATATACAAGGAAACAACAGTGTTGCTCACTTGTTAAATGCTGAAAATTCTGACATTGGTATTTATCAGATGTAAATTAATTGTCATGAATCAAATCAAAAATAATGGACTTGAAATAAAACTGAATTGAGAGATCAATATCAATATCCAGCCTTAATCTCTGTATGATTAAAGAAAACAGTCCTTCATTGACACATCCATACAGATGTGGCTAACGGTGTTGGTACCCTTACACCTCACTGTTTGTTCTTCCTGACAGCTATTGAAATTATACATTCTTTTGTCACCACCACAGAAAGCTTCAAAACAGATAAAAGCTGATCTCCAAGACTAAGTAGCAAATATGTCCAGTCACACCATATGTTGCCTTCTGAATGGAAGCGAGCTCCATGGAAGAAGACCAGTTCAGATCTTAATCTGGTTGAATATCTATTGAGATATCTGAAACATGCAGTTTGTTCAAGAAGCAGGCCAAACCATTAGAAGTATCAGTCTCAATAAGAGCCACAAAAACACTTGATTGCAACAGTTGCCTCAAAAGGGTGTTCCAGCATTTTCGTCCATGCCCTTTTCATCTGTTGTATTATTAAAAATATATTAAATTGACAATCAAAAGCAATGTAACAGCAGCTTCCAATAAATGTGGAATAGGGGTTAGTGGATGCCAGCTACTTCGATCAGTTTCAACTTATTTTCTTTCTATTTTAAATAGTATCAACACTTTAAGCCACATCTATAGGTTTACAAACAACTGAATCCTTTTGCATAAATATAGGACATGAGGACATAAGCTACGGTGTCATGTGAGAACTCGCTTTGGCAGTGAAGAAACGGTTGCAAATTAAATACTCCATATCAAAATGCAACAATCAGGAGAAACTCCAAATGCACACAAACAGAATAACTACCTCTCTCACACTTAAACATTCTCCTTGTCATTTCCATTGATGATGTGCACAAACACAACTAAATAAATATATTAAAACACTCTTAAATAGCTCTAGGGCTGCTATATTTCCTTCTCTATGTTTCTTTAAAAGAGAATATATTAGAATATATACAATTTTTTTTATAAATACATATAGTTCAACATAATAATTTTGTTTTTATAAAAAGGGATCCAAAGTCTTACAGTTCTGAGGGCCTAGCTTTTCTATGTTTATGTCCATGCTCTCTTGCACTGTGAAAAGGGTTTACAATGTTGCCTGTTACTGCCACCTACTGTGACATAGCAGCACTACAGCATGTTAACCTGGTGTTGGGAGTCAATGCCAATATGTAAACATGTATGATATAACCAGTCAAAAGCTACATTCCAAAAGTAAAACCTCTTTAACCTTTTTTCATACATTATTGCAAAGCAATGCTGTCTTTAAAATAAAAAATCTTGCAAATCTTGAGGACAGCAGCATCAAACAAACAGGTGTCCACCATGTTTCACGATAAGTGTGTCAAATACTAGAGGGGTGGGAGAAGAAGTGGGCCTTGAGGAAAGAATGATGCCAGTGAGTGTTTACACATCTTTATCCAAGAATATCTTTGTACTGTTGAACAGAGTGGGAACTGCTATGGTGGAGTACTACAGTGCAGTTTCAGGCAACCAGATCAAATAAAGTGCAGTCCAGAATGAATGGCAGAACTGTCAGCCTGAACGGTTTGACAATAAAATGTAAAAATTATAATAAATAAATAAATAAAATAAACAATAAAATGTGTGGATATTTCAGTAAACGTTTTGAATGCCTTAACTATCCCTAAAAATAAATAGCTGTGTAATGTCGTTTGAGAGGGCAATGCTCCTAAATTTTTAAATTAAAACCTCATAACATTTCCCCTGATTTTTACCAAGCGTGCCACTAATTATTAAAGGAACTGTATATTTATGAAACCAGGGTCATGTTTCGGATTTGGAAACGGCTCCTATCTGGCCAAGAATTCTCAGAGTGGGCCATTTTTTGGTCCTACTTTTACATCAATAAGTAAGAGCATTTTATCAATTGAGATAAATATCTTAGGAAATCACTAAGAGCAGTTCTTCTCCTTGCTGAAAGTAAGAGAAGGAGGCTTCATAAATAACCTCTGAGGTGAAGTGTTTTCATTCCTATGATAAGTTTCAGCTGGATTACTAGGAGTGGTTCTGAGATGCTTGACAATAAGGGTCTCAAGGCATATTCACATTATTGCAGAAAAACGAGGGTCTTGCACTCCATGGTCTTACCTACAATACTGTCTAGCAGTCAATGCAATTGCAGGGAGTCAAGTGTTTTTAACAATCTAGGTAGCTGCAATTGCATGCTGATATTTTTCCAATTAAATTGGCTGGCTGTCTGGACTGGATTTGTACAGTTAAGAAAACTCAGAAACACAAGTAGGCTAAATAACTGTCAGTTCAAGCAGTGGTCAACAGTGATGGGCTGCCCCAACAAAGGTCAGCGCAACTCAGGTCAAACTTTTGGTGTAGCCACGCTTCACAATGTGCACTGCTGAGGTCTGCACAGTGCACACACAAAAACCGTTTTTCCACAATAATGTAAATACTGCTTCATCCCCCCCCCCAGTTTTACCTGTCCACTACAATCATCTTCCTCCGCCCCATTTCAAACAGAGCAGTTGCGTCTCTTCCCAGAGCCAGTCTGGGCCTTAGCAGCAGAGGCTGGGGTCAGCCAAGTGGTAACCCCGTGTCAAAGGCTGGTGGAGGAAACCGAGAGGGTGGGTGAGGAGGGCGGTGGGAAGTTGAGTAGCTCCAGCACAGCCACGCCTACACTGCTGCGCCGTGTGAACATGCAAGAAGCTGCGACCCATTTGTTGCTACGTGGGTTGTACTTCTCAATGGAGTTCAGGCTGGAGCTGCCATCCTTACCGCCCACTGCATATAGCCATCCATCCA